ACAGCTTTAGAAAATATTTCAACAAAAACAAAACAATTGTGCATGGTCCAAAGTTTCTGTTGTGACACAAATGTGACAGAAATTTGGCAGATATCTTTTGCTGAACAGTAAGGGTGAGAAGCAACCCCACACATGGATTGTATCAGACTGCTTAGCTGTTGGCATAACATGGGACCCATAGCAGCTCTCACCTTTTTTTTTCCTCAGGACAAATGATTTCCCAGATGTTCCTAGACAAGCCAAATACGTTTATTGCAGTTTTCATCCCTGTACTTTCTCCAGAATTTCAGTCTGTTCTTCATGTTGTTAAAGGAAACAGAGTAATGGGGACTGGACACAGACATAGAGAGCATTACAAGGCATAGTTTGATAATTTTACTCTCTGCTACTCAAGAGTCAAGTGGTACTTTACAACAATGAATCCAACGCTTTGGACTTGGTGACGTAAGGCTTGGATACAGTTGCTTGACAATAGAAACCCATTCCAAGAAGCTCTGGCTGCACTGTCCTGGAGGCCACATGAGGTTTGGAGGTATGTCGCTATTGACTCTGTAGAAACTTGGTGGTCTGTTCTGTGCACTATGCGCCTCAACATCCCCTGACCCCGCTCGCCTCCACTTTGTTATAATGCCACTAAAATTTGACTGTGTAAAATTAGATAGATTATTCATTTTATGACTGGACTTACTCAAATGTGGCATCCTATCACGGTACCACACTGGAACCTTTCAATCAGTTCATCTGCTGAGGATGTTTAACATATCGGAGAGGCATCTTCTGTCTAGTGCCCTTCATTTAGGCGATTTGACAGAGTGTTGGATGCTCCAGCAACTGTCTGATAACACTGTCGCTCTAAGAGAGCCACCACTTTTATCCTCTGGTCCCTTTCAAATTGTGCCACTTTTTCCTGCAAATTCTGGGTGCCTAACTTGGTCCTTTACACCTTTATTTGACCACAATAGAGGTTGGATTAATAAAAAACAAAATGCAAAGTTTACATCTGATCTGTAAGGGATATCAAGTGTAAAACAGCAGATAAAATGATATATAATATAAATAGAACATAAGTAAATCTAATATAAAGAATAATAATAATATAAAACTTTAAAATCTAAATGTACACAATTCTTTCACAAATGTTTGTTGCATTCTCACCGGTGATGTTGGGACAAGATGTCGGGTGATGTGATCTACTGAGCTGATCTTGTTCTCAGATACTCAATCCCTGAAACTAAAGGAAATAAATCAGAGGAGATTCCCCTCCCTCCCATCCTCCCTGAAGTATTTTTTTAACCCTCTCTTTTGTTCCAAGATCCCACATGTGCCCAATATATCACTTAGACTGTATCACCTTCTCCCTTTGTTTATCATCTCCTCGGATGTCCATGTGGAATCCTCATCTTATCCCCTTCCCCTTGTCTCCGGGACATCCAAGTGTATTTTACAAGCCACTAGTCACTGATCCTAATGGTTTGCAGCAGCAGCGCTGGTAGCACACACGATATCTTGAATGTAACAATCAAAGAGGCATGCAAGATTTTGGTATTTCTGCTGGCTTACAGATGTGCTGCAGCTCCCAGCTCCTGAAGCTGTAATCTTGATTTTAGATATGAAGGCGGGGTTGAAAATACTTCAAACAAATGAACATCTTATCGCCATATGTCACTGGAGTTTTATGCGTCTAAAGAGAGAATCTCCCCAATTTCAGCTGGGAGTTGTCTGATGGCAGATAAATTAAACAAGTTCTGTACCAGACACCCAGACAGGGCCTGTTTGAAATATTTTAGGACCCCTGAGCAGGACCAGCCCCCATAACCACGGTAATATATCTGCTCTTCAAATTACGGTGGCCCAGAGGTCTCAGGTTAAACACAAAAGCCACAACATTAATACAAACACCACATCAGTTGCATTAGGAATAAACTCTGCTCAATAATGTTCACAGTATTGCATATATGTATAGTTTGATGGAGCCCATGCAGTGATGTTAGATCAAATGTTTATGCTGCAAAGTTGGATGGAAGCTGACAACACTATTCACAAGTAATGTTTGTACGCATAGCTGTGTAGTTTTCCTTGCAAAACAAACAGTATGGATTTAAATGATATTTCTAAAGAGCTTTGTACTTATGCCCAACATCTAGAAGTCATTAATATGTGAAAAAATGTTCCGATTTTCAACTGGAAAACTCAGGTCCTCAACTCAAAATTCGCATTTGAAAAGACAGAAAACAAGCTAATGTCCTCACTACGGTAAGCTCTTGCAAATGGGGGACCAGGACAAATGACAGCCATAAACCTAAGAGCATTGGTCCAACTCTCAATTTATAAAGATGTTTTTCAACAGAATGAAAGAAACAGAAAGAAACAGGAAAATAATCAAGGATCAATAGTCTAGTCAAAGTCCAGACCTGAGCTTTAGGTGGCTTAGTTTAAACTGTAATAGAATAATTAGTTTGTTATTTATTCAATTGTATATTTTTTGTTTTATGTGATGTTTTACTCTACTTCAAAGCTATTGTGCATTTACCAGTTGACTATAACACTTTGGTCAACTATGAATTCTTTATTTGTTATATAAGTTCAAACTTTTTTCAGTTGAATACTTGGAAATAGGTAGGGCTGTTTTGATTAATACAAGGAAAACAGAAAAAGTGATGTTTTTCTCCTCACTTTTTTGTGCAGAAGAATGGTTTGGACATTACACTCAAACTAGACTTCGTACGGGTGGAAAACCAACTGTTTTGGTTTTAAAAATTATTTGCGAAAATTTCCAGGAGTTTGGATCCCTAAAAAGAAAAAAAACGTGTTTTACTATAACTGAAATATTATTTTGGTGGTTCTGACCATCACACATATCTGTTATGATAACACTTTAGTCCGCGAGGTAACAGCTCAGCTGTGACGATTTCACAAGGGGATTCCATGAGGGCGACAAAACAGCAGCCGTCACACAATAATAAGATATGTGAATAGCCCACAGGATAACTATTTTTGGAAGTAAAGAAGTGGATGGCATATCCTTGCCATGAGCTGCTGTAAAAATACTCATGGTATGATAACCTTGGGCAAAGACATTTTGTGTTCTGGTTAATAAAACAACAAAATTTACCACATGACCTCATTTATTTTAGTTAAAAAAAATAGCATATGCTACTGTTCTGGCACAAATACTGGCTGGTTATGAATAGACATAGATAATAATAATATTATTAATAATATTAATCTTTGCATCTATAAAAATATTATTAATTAGTTAATTTCATTTTGAAGGAGGGCTGAATTGTGCCTTGCAACAAGAAGGTTTATATCCCAGCCAGGTGTCTTTCTGTAAGGAGTTTGCATGTTCTCCTTGTACATGAGTGGTTTCTCTCCAGGTACTCCAGAGGAACTGTTGGGTTAATTGGTTACCCTGCATGTGTGTCTAGGGTGTACCCCAACTTTTGCCTGATATCCGCTAGAGATAAAACTCCCGCCACAACCCTGCAAGGATAATCGGGTATAGACAATGGATGGATGGATTTTGAAGGACATGAACATAAGTAGAGTTAAAGAAGATGTGTGTTGACACTGTTTCCCTCTTTAAAATGAACTCAGCTAAAATAAAGAAGAAGCCCAAAGGTCATTCTATATGGGTGCATGTAGTAGTGAGTGAATTTCAACAGCATATAGAAATATCAACAAATGCATTTTATAAGTTAACATAAATGTATTTTTTGTGCAATAGAGATAAATTCTACCCTGTTGTTCCCTTTTTGTAAAATATTATCTCGAGCTGATATTAACATGTTAGCTTGCCAGGCGTTGGTGAGCCTGCTTTATGCTGTATTTATAACAGCTGCAAGATGGCTTTAAAAGACGGGAAATTTGAACAGATGTACATAGTGAAACAGAATTGCAAAAGTCAAATTTTCCACAAATACAGGTTAGCTGTCTGAGTAGGGCGTTTATTTTATCGGTAAACACGGTAACTCGCGTAGCACTTAGACTCCAGCTGGCCAAATACATTATTAATATGCAGAGCGTGAATACATGACACTAGTATCAAACTAAATGAGTCCAAACAGTCCTTTGCATTCTTAATACTGCACACTCAGATATTATAATTATAATTTGACATATTGTGCAGTTCTGCAACAGAGATATATAGAACACAATTTCTGAACACAATCTCTGAACACACCATAATTCACACAGGTTCAACTAAATTAGACAATGGATAGGAAAAATTATTCCCGCTCCTATGCGCCCAATTTCAGCTGGGCCATTCAGATGGTAGGGTCAGACGTTGGTGTAAGCAACATGAAAACATAGATCTGTCCTGCCTTGTATCTAGGGTTTAGGCTGATGTCACAGGTGACATAATGATGGTGGGACATTTTTCTGGTACATTTTAGTCCCCTTATTACCAACTGAGCATGATTTAAACACCACAGCCTATCTAAGCATTGTTGCCAACCACATTCATCCCTTTATGACCAACCTGTCTGATGGCTACTTCTAGGAGGATAATGCGCCACGTCACAAATCTCTAATAATCTCAAACAGGTTTCCAAAAGCCTTCACAATCACCAGATCTCATTCCAACAGAGCATCTTTAGGATTTGGTTGAAAGAGAGATTGGTATCACAGATGTGGAGACAACAAACCTGGAGCAAACTCTTAATTCTGCAGCACAAAGAATTAAGGTAATCCTGAAGGCGAAAGAGGGTCCAACCCGGTACTAGCAAGACGTATCTAATAAAGTGGCTGAGAGTATTATGAGAGTCAGTCAGTCATTTTCTATACCGCTTCATCCATAGTGGGCCTAACTCCAGCAGTCTATGGGCAGGAGGTGGGGTACACCCTGGACACGTTGCCAATCCATCGCAGGGCAACACACAAACAACCATGCACACACTCATTCATACACCTAAGGGCAATTTAGAGAGACCAATTAACCCAACAGGCATGTCTTTGGACTGTGGGAGGAAGCCAGAGTACCCAGAGAGAACCCATGCATGCATGGGGAAAACACGTTGGGAATCGAACCCAGAACTTTCTTGCTGCAAGGCAACAGCGCTACCCACTGCGCCACCGTGCACCCCGTATCATGATTTATATTTATATAAATGAAAACAGATTTTTACCTATATGTTACAGACAAATGAAAATACATTTTTAGGTAACATAACAAGAATAAACTGAGGACACAGTGTGGCACATCACAACTTTTAAAAAAATTAAATCAGCATCTAGTAAACCAGAATAAAACCAGATGTTTGTTCAATGTTGAAGCTGATGTGAACTTTGACACCGAAAAATCAAACCCTGATTAACAGGCTGGTATTTTAACTCCTTACAATACTCAGCTTTTAGTTCAAATCGTTATACAGAAATTCTTGTTCTCATTTGATTTAAAAAGTGACTATGAAGAAATACAAGGGAGCAACAGGACAGGAGACAAAAGAAGAGTGCTAATGCAAGAATATTTTTAAAACTTCCCTCCTAAATACTTCCCTGCTCTCCCACTCAATGCTTAGAAGACAAAAGACACACATTAGTCATTTCTGACCCCAAGCAGAATCTTTTATTGTCCAAATCCATCTTCCCTGCCAGTTGAGTTCTTGACTAATTAACACTTCATTATTCCTCGAAGAAAAACTTCGCCTCTAATTTTAGAGAAATGAAATGGTCTGGAAAACTTTTTCTCATGTGGATGAAGCCACTAGCCTTCCTGTAGATCTTGTGTTGCCGACATCCTCGTGTTTTGGGGGGAAACAGAAAGCGATGGTGTGTAGCGCTGAGCCGGAGCACCGGCAATCTGTGGAGACTTTCCCTGAATTTGGCTACTTCAGGACTTTTTTCCAAGCATTTCTTGTTATGGTGGAAAAAACATTGCAAGCTATGTTGGTATTTCAAACAGCATGTGTCATATTAGCTGCTGAATGTGTTGATGGTTGCATGGAGGGCGGTTGCTCATCTGTGACGTTCATTTCCAAAGCAGCTTTGGCTGCGGGGCAACAAAGGAGAAGGTGTTGTAATACACAGTTACTCAACTTATATTCATATTTACTGCAAAAAAAAACAACAGTGCCAGTAATTAATTTCGATTTGAAACTAGTTAACCTAGATTTTACCCTTGAATGCAAAATTTTGTTTTATTTTAGATCACAAAACTGTTACGGTGCAAAAACCGCATCCAGTTTAATTGTTCTGTAGGTGTCATGACACTTGGGAGTGATCTGTTTTTGTAAATAAATATAACTGTTGTTTTGATCGCCTATTTTCAGCTTGAATCAGTTGCAACAACATGGCTGTCCTGATCCTTCATACAGGATCCATTCTGATTTTTTACTTATATTTTGGTTTCACACCACACCTTTGAAATGCTTTGTATCATGTCAGAGTCCAGTTTCTGGAGCCGATCACGCTGGTTTGAAGCCATCCCGGACTCTGAAACGGACCAGGGAACCGTAGCCTGGTTCGGTTGCAACTGCCGATCTTGGCACGGTTTATTCAGACCCTGGAGTGGTGTGATACAGTGTGAATACATGGCGGGCCAGTGTACAAAAAGCAGGGAGTGTGAAAGTGACGTAAGAGTGATGCATTTGAGTAAAAGAGCAAGAAGTAGAGGCTGGAATTGGCTCCAACAACATCAAGATGTTTGGTGAGACGATGAAAGCCATCTGTAGTTTGGAAATGGAAGAAATATAAAATGACATTCAGTCACTGTTGGTTTGGAGCTCAGTTCTCAACTGGAGATCAGGTGAGAATGATCATGAGAACCTTGATAGATCAGCCCACAACTACATGGTAGGAGCTGCAACCAAGGTCACGAAGAACACCAATCATTTTACACTGTGCTGTAATGGACTGAAATCTTGCATTCTCTGCCTCTGAAAGTCACATGCACAGGCCTGTCTTAGGTTGTCCAGTAAACATCTACACGATTCAAAAAAAGCTGGAAAGAAAGGGCTGTCATCAGATGAGACCAACAATCTATCTCTTTTGCATCAACTCAAACCCCCTCCATGTCTTTGAAGAAATTCTGGCTATGACCTGGAAAACACAATCTCCCCTTACAAGCACGGAGGTGGAGACATTATGCTTTGGAGCTGTTTTTCCACTATAGGTAGACTTCAGCGCATTGAGGGGCCAGTGAACGGTTTTCTTTACTGTGAAATATAATAGAGGCCCCTCCTTCAATAATTCAAATTCAAAAATACTTTATTAATCCCAAAGGGAAATTAAATAAATAAAGAAGGTCATTAGGGTCATGGGGTGTCCTTGTCAGTTTCCAGACCTCAGTCTTACAGAAGAAGAGGGAGCTGAAACTTTGGCAGGAAACTTAAGGGATTTAAAGAGCTTCTGTAAAGAAGAGCAGGTCAAAGTCCATCCAGTGAAGCGTTAACCTGATGAACAGCTACAGAAAATGTTTTAGTGCTGACTGGCCAATAAAGGTTTCTCCACCAAGTTTTAGGGAATGCTTTTAGGGGGGAGAAACCAAATTTAAACTTTTTCAGTGCAGGCAAAAATTATTCCCACCCCTGGCAGATTTAGATTTATAAATATTTCTTTGAACCAATAAGTTTGTGTCTGAAGGTAATTAAACAATTCTAAAGGGGTATCAGTTTTGAAAAGCTTGTTTTGATTTGGATAAATCTTCGCTGACATTACAGCAATAAATGCTGTCCATCTTTTTAGATGTGCCCACAGGTATTTTATAATTTATACTTGGTGATGACCTTTAAGTCTGAGGTTGGATGGCCTCTTAGTCATCGCCCTAATATTTATCTTCCTCCACAAATCCTATTGAAATCGAGACTCAATCAAAACATTATACTTCCATTCAGAAGAAACAGGCTGCTGAAAATTTGAAGATTACTTTAAACCTGTCAGGGATATGACTCTATGGTGCCGGTGTGGGAGAGAATAATTTGAAGAATTTATGACCTGGAAAAGATGTCTGCAGCTGGATACTCCTCACTACAATAAATTAATAAATAGATAATCCCAATCTTTCTTTAATCCTATTATTTAGCTGCCAGAGTTGGCACATGCTAGTTTGACAGACAAATGAATGGCCTAGACTTGTTTTACATGATAGGTTATTTTGGTTGAAAATATGTGACATAAGCAAGAAATGTTGTTTTATGTAACATGATGTGTAAAAAACCTTTCGTTCTTGATTTATGTGTTGTTGAAAAAGCATCCGAGGTCCAAGGTGAACAAATTATTTACATTCACACATCATTAGGAAGGCAATGACTGGGGACTTCAGCACACACTGGGATCTTTCATGTGGGCTTCGACAGCTTTTGAGGCCCAAATCAAAGAAATGCTGACAGTCCTCGTATAACTTAACACCAAGCAGCAGGAAATAAAAACAGTTCTGTGGCTTGAGAGCACTTTGCTGAGCGGAGTGACCCAATCTGGTCAGGGTGTAACTGAGAAGGCCTTGTCTGGTAAACCCAGGTGCAACAGAGGCGTTAAATGCTGGGAGGAAATAAGCAATAACTGGGAGTGTGTGTGTGTGCATACTTTTTCAAAAGCAGTGTCAGAGTCGATAAGAGTCCCGCAGCGGCAGCGAACAGCTGAAAATTCAGTGGACTACCGACTCCAAGAGCAGCCTTGCAAAACTTGTTTCATGCGCTGCAGCCTTAGAGAAACTGCAACAATGCCAAAGTCCTGAATTTGGATCAAATTGCTCATTTATACGTTTAAAATGATTATTTTCTCACTTTGATCTCAACATTAGTCTTATGGGCAAGCAGTAACATGTAAATTTAAGGAGAATTAAAAATGTTGAAAAATAAACATTTCTCGCCCCATCAGATAAGTTTTGGATAAGCACACCATTCTTCATCTTTAGAAAACAATGTCTTATTTATATTGAGAACAAACAAACCTAATACACAGCAAGGCAAACAGCCAGTTTTTTTCTTCCCATTTTCATGTTGCAGCTTTGCTCTGTCACATTTGATTATATAGTTCTGAATATGTGAAACTGAATATCAAGGTACACAACGTTTAGTGAGAACAAATGTCTGCAGACCTGCATCAGATCTGTGGAAACTGACAGGCCCCTGGTTTCACAGCCAGACCATGTGAAGTCATTGTCAGAAATGTGCCTCCAGAATCTTTATTTTATGTTATCATCTGGCTTTCCCAGCTAGAGATGAAACTGAAAGAGTCCCACAGTTATTAAAGTTCAAACAAGCGAATCGGATCTCCGAATAGAACGTTTTCTGTTTGAGAACCAGCAAGGTCCTCTTTATAAAGTGTACAAAGTTACCATTATCAGTCAGCCATGACTTTAAGGACACACCAAATGGAGGAGTAATTTCAAGCACAATATCCTATTTCTATAGAATTCCCATAAAAACAATGTTTGATTTATAGCAATGGTTCTGGAGGTAGTACTTGTTCCACCTACTTCTGATGTTAGAACCTGGATCTGGGTATAACATCAAACCCAACTTTGCCATTTTCTACTCCGCAAGATTAAAAAACTGGGGGGTGCCAATTTTTGAGCCTGCTGACCACAGTAACTAGCAATAAAAGCTATTAATACATCTTAATAAATTAGAATATTATTGAAAATTTCATTAATTTCACACATTTTGAGATGATTTCCCATTTCCATCTAATGAAAACACGACATTTAAGGTTAGCATATTATATTAGACCAATTAAAACACGTTTTTAATACAGAAATATTGACTTAATATTGGCCTAAATTTTTTATTTTTTTTTTAACATGTCCTGTCTGGCAGAGTAGCACTCAGAATTGTTGTCTGAGTGCCAAGAAGAAGCCCAACGTATTCATTTTCACAAGTGGAGCATTCCGGCTAATGCTATAATGTTCTGTTTCTTCCTGTTAAAACACTACATGCATGCTCAGTATGAGGGATTGCTGCAAAGTCAACGCCAGTGACTGTCCACTGTCTCTACATGCTCATCCAGGAGGAGTGAATGCTAGAGAGAGGTGTGTGAAACAGAGTTTCCACTCAGAATTATAACACAGAACCTTATTGTTTTTAAAACTTTTCAACCTTTAAATAAAAACAGTCACTGCCAATAAATCTAATTTTTTAAACA